TAGCGTACGATATATTTTACAAAGGTACTTTTTATTGAAAATCACAAAAATCAATCACAAAATCAATGAAAACATTAAAAATATCAACTATCTAGAGTCTAGTATATAATTCAGTATAATAATATATCGATACACATTGCAAATACGCCGACAAACACTGCGACCAATGATTGTCATTCGTATTTGATTACGAACTAAACGACATTAATAATGTCATTTTACCGAGAGCCAATTTCGAATATTATTATTTATATTTTATTTACACACACTCGAAAAGTCCACTAACGAACACACACACACACACACACACACAAAATTATACAAACGAACGTATTTGTGTGTTTTGTATTATTATATAAATCTATTTCCATATAGACCTATATTATATTCTTAATGGAATAATAACGAACTCGCCGTTTCCACGGTTACGATATGATGACGGAGAGCTTCTCCTGCTCCGCAATAACGAATTGTCCTGGCCAAGACTAATAATGATAATAATATTATACCTATCTCCTAACCACCGGAGTTATTTTTCGATTCGACCCTAATTTATTTACCAAACGTATATATAAATTTGTCCCGACACGTCTCCCGAGTATAAACCGTCGCAAAGCCGGATTAAGTTACCACGTTGTATATAACGCCAGCAATGCACTATACACTTTTATATCATTCCGTCGAAACCATTAAAAGTTTTTCGGGGTGTATACACCTATACAATACAATACAACATATAATTGTATATTACTTTCCCCGTTATACGTGGCTCGACCTCAGCTCTCTTGTCTAGAAAATCGCGAGTAGAAAACGAATTGTATTTATCGGCGCCCGCGAGGCCAGAAATGATGTCGACATCGAAACTCTCGAGTCAGACACAATACCTATATCGTGCTTGCAAACAAGTCGGTAGAGCACACGATTTCGCACTTTTATCTTTTTTTAACCTTCACCAGTGTTAAACGTTTTTGAACCGATCAAACAATATTCTCATATTGGTGCTCGAACGATTTTTTTAGGTAAAATTACTTATTCCGGTATTCGTGTAACTTGGTAAATATACGTAAGAGCAATTCTTTCATTCAGACGAGTTGAATTGAAATAGAGACAGCGTAGAGCAGCGTTAGGTTAGGTTAGGTTACGGTTAGGTACGATTATATTATCATAATTTTGTGGATCCTGATGAAATTAATTTCGGTACATGTAAATTAAAGTATTCGGTATTGATTTTGATAAGCAAAAAAAAACGTTATTTGGCCAAGTGGTAGGGGAGAGTGGGGCAGATTTGAATGAAATTTACATTTTATTTTTTTAATTTTTAATTTTTTGACAAATTTTATATTTGATAATTACAATCTGTAGTCTAGATAGTTGTGAATACTATTTGACTTATAACAATCTTATATATTAAATAACCAATTTAATTTCTAATTATGAAGTGAAGTATATTTTTATTCAAATGTACCCCACCCATGGGGTACATTTGAACGTGCAGGGGGTAGATTTGAATATGTGTCTTAAAAGCCACATTTGAATGTTAAATATTAAATTAAATTAAACTTTTTATTTATTTTAATAATAAAAATAGCTCAATATAATATAATAACAATTTTTTACAATTATGTTTAGATGTTTTCTTGTCAATTTTTTTTTATTGTGAAAATGTAGTATTTTTGAGTTTTCTTATAGATAAATCCACATCTTGTGACATAAATCCAGTTAACTAGTATATTCCATCCATAAGATAGATATTTCAAAAAGGAGGAACCTTTATTACACCCTATTATCTACCCTATTGATGAAGATTCAAATCTACCCCATGACAAAATAATCAATAATAATCGTAATATAAATTTTAATAATTATAAATAATGTATGTACATTAAATGTATTACTAGGCAACAATATTTTGAATAGGTATATTTAATTCTAAACTTATTATTTTGAATTTTAGTTTCCAAAATGTTCTTATGGAAACACCTATTTTTTTTTTAAAAAAGCCGGAAAATCACATTATCATTTTTATTTATCACAAAATTATTCAAAAATGCCTGATAATCACATATGGTATACAAAATATTGTCACCAACTTAGATTATTATTTTTATGAATGTAAATAATCTGTAACAAATTATATTAGACAAATTCAAATGTACCCCGCATTCAAATCTGCCCCACTCTCCCCTACATGAAAATTGCAAAACCGTGTTGGTGGTACCTGGATATAAAAAGGTTGAGAACCAATGGTGTAGAGGTATAGGTGCAATGTATCGTCTTGCACGCTCTATAGACTGTATTATAATATCATTGATAAAAGCAAATCGTATTTTTCGTACAAATACTTTCATTTATAGTTGGCTATGGACCTTATTGGGTTATATTGGCTATTTAGTTAAACTATCAAAAATTCAAAATAGTATACCTATAGCCTATAGGTAGTTAGTGACAATGAAGCCTTAAGGTTTTTTTTTTTTTTTTGGAAATCTCTAAACGAAAAACCCACACTTACGTTTTTTTATTTAATTTGTTATCAGGCAAATAAATTGTAAAGTTTATTAACTTTTTAAGCACTTTACATCCAATCCAAAACATGTTTCAACATTTCAAGTACGATTTATTTTCCCTATTTTACATATTATCTATTTAGTATTTACTGAGTCTTTTCTAAAGTATTTTGTATTTAAATTATATTGTTACTTGCAGAATTAAGTACTTAGTTTTTTTAATAATACAATAACTCAAATGAATATAAAATACCACCTGTACTCATTTTTATTTTACTAATTAATATCGTAAGTAATGATATCAATTATCAATATATTATCATGTTATCAGTTATAATTTTATCACTGCATTACACCGGTCAAATGCTCGTCACAGGCTTGTTTGAAAATTTCGTATTTTTAAAAAGGGTTTTTCTATTCTAACGACTTGAAATTGAAATTGAATATTATTTTTATTATGATGTCGCTAATGGAATTATTAATAATATATAGGGAGCTAATTATATCCATTTATCAAATTAGTTAATTTTTTTCATTTATTTATTTATATTGTAGGTACCTATTGTTTTATATATTTAATCGACGGAAGATGATAATATAATATAACTTGTATTTATATAAAATTTCAAAAGTTTTTTGCTCATTTCAGCGTTGGAAGAAATAAGATAATGTACGACATGCCATCAACGGAATTTACGAACTCGTTTCTGTGGTACTGGTCGGAGGTCGTCAGATAAATAGACTTTGACGCCAAGACGTAATAGACCAACATCAACATCATAAACTGTGACGATCTGAAATTATAATTTCCATTAATTTACCGGTACGTTTTTCGTCGCTTAAAGTCTTGATTACATTATATTTAAATGTCTGTCGAAGTCCCATTACATCACAGACCACGCAGTGCATTAGCGAATAATAATTCAATTATTATTATCATTATATTATTATTATATGTATTCACTTCTTATATCATGGCAATAATAATAATTGGAAAAATAATGAACCCAGAATATGAAAGTTTAAAATTTACACAAGACAAATGTATACTCATCAAATGAGGAATATATAGTTAGTAGTTAAACCAGCTTAATAATATGTGATATTAATATTCTAACCTACTTATAAGTTATAATAGTTACAAAATATATAAGTATACATAATAATATAATATACAACCATATTCCATATGTGTACCTAATCAAAGTAAAAATATATATCTACTGTCAACTGCCAAGTCACAAAGGCTGCGTTGCGACACTTAGTAACGAAAGAGGGAGCAATAATAAGTTAGTTCGTTTGTCCAAACGGATGTTGATCGTTAAACGTAGTTTTTTTAAAGTTTATTTTAGGATTTATCCGATTCGTTACCGTCACCCGAACAAACATGATTTCGGTATCCGGTCGATAAAAGTTTGAAAAGTAATTATATATATATATGTGTGTGTGTGTGAATAGTAGTGGCACCGGACGATGATATGACGAAGACGACGCTTGAAGGGTAGAGGTAGAGTAGGGTACAGCTGTGATAAGTACATTGTGTTCACATACATACACACATAAGTGTATATATACACGTATGCGTGGGCGTGGCCTAGGTTGTTTGTTTGGAAAGTTTATTTGCTAAAGTTTATGCCCATCAGACTGAAACTGAAATGTTCCGCGGGTAGGCGATTTGCGTCTGAAAGAAAGACAGGTAGAGGCAGAGCGAGAGATAGAGTGTGATTTAGTAGAGAAGAATATTGTGTGTGTGTGTGTGTGTGCGTAATATACATCAATGTTGGGAGAAAAAGGATTTTATCAAACTCCAGATACCTACGTATTATTAAGATCAAAATATCCGGATTATTTGAATTCTTGGATTTATATGTTTTTACCGGCCTGATCGGGGATATTTAGTTGAACTGCCCGCGAAAAACTCATCCAAGTATTAATTGATTGGTAAACACCAAACGAACTAAAAGAAAATAATAAATACAAACTCAACTATAATATTTGGTTAACAAATAATACATATTCGACTTTTCCGCCAAACTCAATATTCCAGATAATATATCTGAACGGTTCATCGCACTAGATCGTTGGTAGGTATAGGTACACGATACGAGTATACAACTATAAAACAAATCGTGGCACATATTATAATATGTACATATTTGGCATTTTCGTCTGAAGTTATCTTTACCGTGTATGTACAATAACATAATATTATTATCACGACGACAAGACGATGAAATAATATAAAGTCTGTAAAGCCGCGGAAATGCTCGTCCACCCACCGGCCGTGGGTGGATCGGCAGTGGGCGTGAGTCGGGCCCGTCAAGGTTCTATGATCGCGATGGCCTTGAGCTGTTCGGGCCGGGCCGGATGTCAGCTGATCACCTCGTCCGGCGGGTTGTTGGTGAGCGTGTTCCACAGCGGTGACCTGACCGGTCTGGGTGGCGGTTTATCCGTCTGCACGGCCACCGATATCCTGGCGATGGCCAGCACGTGTTGCTAGCTGTCCGGACACACGAGAGCCTCGACCGCTCCGCCGCCAACGACCCCGCCGCCGTCGGCCACCGCCCCTACGCCGGCCACCGGTCCGCCGCCGGCCACGCCGCCACAGCTGCTGTCCATCTCGCTCCGCTCCTCCATGACGGGGTCAAGGTCGCAGGACGCGTACGACCGGCTCTCGCTGCGCAGCGGGTGGTTCCGGCCGCCGGACGACAGTGGCGACGGCATCGCGCCGCCACTGGCGTTCGCCCCCGCAGCCAGGTATACGCCTGAAAAAACACACGCTCCATATTATAATAGTTTTTATATGTATTTATTATTATTATTATTAAACGTGCATGATGCCTTGCAATAGTAGGTAGACACAATGGGCATGGACCAGTTGCGCCTAAAACAATATTTGTACTTTAGGTCAGTAGGTATACCAATATTGCGCCGCTTAAATTTTAGGTCAGTACACCAATTGCGCCGCTTAAATTTTAGGTCAGTACGCCAATTGCACTACTTATATTTTAGGTTCCTTATTTTTACATGGAGATATTATGTAAGTTCCTAAACGGCGGAAAAAGTTACATATGTATATGTTACCGCCAATGATGATAATTAGGTATTATTAAAAATGACTAGTCTATGTTAACACTGACTATTTTACATAGGCATTGATATTATTGGCTAGTCATTTTAGAGATTACCTAACTAAGATAGACAATAATAGAACAAATTTAATATTAATACATCATTTCTATGATTGAGCAGTCATTGTCATTATTGACTAAAACTATGTAGCCATTGATAATTTTAAATATAATATATTATTTTTACTATTTAAGAAAAAACAATGAAAAAAAAATATAAGAAACATATTATATTTCTCTTTGTTTAAAAATGATATATTATCTTCACGTTTATTTTTCAATAAATCAGATAATGCGTTGTAAAATTTTTGACGCATTTCATTTGAATTCATTTTTTTAATAAAACAATTCAACACTTCGAAACGAAACACTATACGAAACTATAAACTATATTATACGAAAGTACAACGTAGACTGTAACAATACTTATGTTATAGGTTAGTTGCCGTGAGTATTAATACTATAAAAGATACCTATTATTATTCGTTATAAAACAGATACCTAATCTTAACGTGGGTTTTTAAAGTTAAAACGATAAAAGATAACATTGACTACAAGAAGATAGGATATGTTATAATAACTAGTGAATCTATCAAATTATAACATCGTCTGATTTATCAAGTCAATGTTACAAATATATGTTGATTATAGATAATGACCAAGTTACCAAGGCATTATATTGGTTGGCTAGTCAATATCATAATTACCTGAATTTACGACATTGACGGTAACATATATTTATATACTCAATTAAATATAGCTATTAGCTAACTAATATACATTCAAATATACTCAATTTAAAGCAAAACGTATACGAAATTACGGGAAAATACGATAAGCTTCAAGCTGATAATTATTAGCAAAATAAAAATTATTAGCAAAGAATTTTTAATTATATTTTTATATTTTTATGTATATTAATTATGTATTATTGACGTGTATCTATGTGTATGATTTGGTATAGATTTATAATATTGTACAAATATTATTAAAATTGACGTTCATTGTATAATTTTTTTGTATTGACTGAAAAAATCTATTTATAATACATATTATTTTCATTAAAGTATTTTTATAATATTATAATATTAACAGGCGCGTATCCAGAATTTTATTTCGGGAGGGGCTGAACAAAATTATCAACATAGTCACACAATAAAACAAAAAAGTGGGTAAGTGGATGTCGCTCTGCTGTACAGTAGGTTACAAGTGGGTCACTGTAATGGATGGTGTAAAATTTGAATATAATATCATTGTATAAGAAAAACAATTCTAAGCGAAAACGGTCAGTCAGCCTATGATATTACTAAGTATATTTGATTATATTATTGTGAATAAAGTAATTTATATATTTACCTATTTACGTGGACCATTGTTTTAAATTTTCAATTCTTAACTATGAACGTAGAACATTTTATAAATTTTTAATTACAAAATATTTATTACATTTTAAATTTTGTCAAAATTCGAACTTTAAATGATTATAAGAAAAAATTGTGCCTATGTATTTTTAATATTTTTCAACTAATATTGTTACAATATATCAAAAGCCTTGCGTTAAAATTTCACGCTTTTTTACCCAACAAAAAAATTTTTATTGATATTTATAGAAAAAAAACTAAGAAAAATGAAAACTGTCAATCTCCGTAAATAGCTAAAAAAGAGGCAAAATATTTTCAAATTTTTTTGGGGTATAAAAAATGAAAACATTCAGCAAAATTTTAAGTAATGTGATTTTTCCGTATTTTGTCAAGATTCGAACTTTAAATGCTTATAAAAAAACTATGACTAAGGATTTTTAATATTTTTCAACTGCTACTGTAACAATATAACAGGAGCTTTGTATCAAATTTTCAAGCTTTTTTACCCAATAAATAAAGTTTTATTGACATTCATATTTTTTGGATTTTCTTGAAATTTCAGGGGGGGCTGCAGCCCACCCAGCCACCCCCATAAATACGCCCCTGAATATTAATATTAATATATAAAATATAAATATTAAAAACATATTAATATTAGAATAATATTATAAACCCTGAAAATAACTGAGCGCAATTGGTCTATCGACCTAAAAAAGACATTGCGCAATTGGTAGGTATATTAAAAGGTCATTTTAAGCGCAATTGGTAAACTCCCGACACAATAACTTTACATAGTTCACAAACATAAACGTGTAAAATACAATAATTCTTAAAAACTATTTATTATAATCTGAATAACATAATAGGGTGCTCACTGGCCGAATGCATCACCTGGTCAACTGATTCATCACACCATATATTTTATGTTATAAAAAGGAATAAAAACGGGAAAATACAATCTTGTAGAACGACCAAGAACTTTAAAATAACTTTCAGAAAGGAGAGAGGGGGCATCAATATGTATTCAGCTATCAATCTATATCTTAATAATATATAATTGATATTAAACTCGACGATTTACGCCTACAAGATATAGAATAATAATAATGTTTTTAGGATCGACAAGAAATAAGTTCAGAATGTGTTTTCTATGATATAAGAAATGATATACTTGTAATTCAATGGTGCGATCGAGGTCGGTATAGTTAAGTGTTGGTAGATGGGAGGCGGGTTGTCTCGAGAGCAAATGTCTGGCGATGAGGTTAAAGGTACCTATAGGAAAACTGCATTACGATTCTCATATTTGTATGACATAAATAGCCAATATAATAGTATTATGAAATCATAATACGAATGCATTTTTAATGCATAAATATTTATGGAATAATAATATGTTTTGGCAATTATTTTTATCCGCCCCGTATCGATAATTGTTCTGGGCTATACGATTTTATTTTTATAATATAATTATTACAATAAATCAATTCAATTATAATATATAATGAACGGTCTTTCAAAAACAACTTTTATTCACATAATTATTATAATACACGAATATGGTTTAATATTTTAGGCTAGAATTTAATGTAGTTTTCGAGAGATTTTCACCTCTTATGTAATTACAGAAAGATACCGGATAACCCGCTGAACAATAGCATACCACGTCATCTTGACATCACGCGACGGTCGAGTAGAGCTAAAGAAAAGTGAATTACCGGGTAAAGGTTAGGGTAAGATACCGAAAAGGAAAATATAAGGAAAAAAGCTGACACTACACTATTATTATATAGATCAAAACATAACAATGAACGACGAGTGTTCAGGAAATATGGACATTCTTTAGTTTTCGAAAAATAAGGAAAAATACTTTATGAGTGAAATAGAATTCCCCTCTATTCATTCTAATGTTGTTAAATTTGTAACTAATCGTACTACGATAATATTATGTTATATTTTGAGATAAAGAATTTCGTTATTTTTTTAGTAGTCGAATCATCCAATAAATAAGTAACAACTATCCAAAGAGGTAATATTATGTAACTTTCAATACAGTTATATTGAATGCTCTATCGAAATTAACAATATAATAAGCATCAACATTTCCTTTCCAAAAAAGTTCTGGAAATGTTTAATATTTTTTCTTGATGTCTTACAACTTAATATGATTATTACGTTATGATGTCATAATATAAAGTATTAACCCTGTTGCAGATGTAGGTTTAAGAATTGTGAAGGACGTTAAACCCTGTCGCGAAAAAAATTAAATAAACACCGAAATGAGTCTTGTGTATACGACATAATTTAGAGTACAGAAATTGGCGACGATATGAAAAACTATTCACTTAAGTGACTTAGGTACTATGATGAGAAAGAGAGGGACTTCAGCAGAGATCAAGCTGCCATAACGAATATAATTTAGCTCTACTAAATTAAAATCGAATTAGTCCTGGAACGGACAAAAAGCGTGTATAGGCAACTCGGTGCGAAAATTCAATCAGCCTTTATACTGTCAAACACTTGAATTCGTTAACCCCAAGCACGGGCGCCATTACCGACGTATTATGCATATTAGGTATAGACGGCCTTTCAACACGTGTCCTTCAATTTTAACAAAATATTCAATCCTCGAATAATTCTAAAAGATAATAGGTGGGTAAATTTAAAAAATGCAGTCTAGCAGGTTAGCACGGTTTAATGTGCATAGTAGGTGTCAGTGTATCTCGTTTTTGGGTAGGACACTGTAATGGGTGTGTCAATAATTTGAGTTTAATACGAACAACGATTTTGAGCGGAGATGGTCTGTCATCCTTTCACTAAGCTTATTATTTTATTACATATACTATTTCTATTGTAACTGTAACACTATTATAATATTATAGTAATTTATTTTACTATTATTTTAATGCGGTTGGTCGACTTAATTGTTGTCAAAAATATCCCATTTATTGTATTATAATTATTATTATAATAGTATAATAATATAATATGTATTTATAATTTATATCATAATATTATATTATTATTGTCATTGACTTTCGTGTCAATACCGACTTACCGTAGAACGGTGTAAATAGGTATTCGAAGTATAAATATAAAATAGCCTAAAATGTATAAAAATATTTTGAAATATTGTCATCGCGATACAGTAAAATATAATGAAATACTTATAAGTATAATTGTATCAATTCCTCATGTATAATACCTACGTATTTATGAACTGTAGCGAAATAACTAAAATCGTCATTCTTCGTTTAAATAATCAATTTTATCAAC